GAAGCCCCCCACAATCAGGCCCCCCGCGGGGCCCGGCTTCCCTCCGTGAGAGTTGGCACCAGACAGCGGCAGCGATGGACTGCGCTATCCAATTGCTCGGAGGCGCTTCGCAGCCGCTCTCCGACCAGCAGTGCTCGACCATCCCTGGGCCATGCGCGCGTCGCCTTCGCGCGGGACTGGGAAAAGCAGGTAGTTGCCCGGACGGATGCCCCATCAAGTCCAGTAAATATTCCCGCGCCCACCCTCCCACAGCGCCAATTGTCTCGGCCAGCGCCAGGTGTGCCCAGAGTCGCAGGCGTTGGGCGACCGACTCTAGGCCCGCGCGGCGGCCCCAAACTCGGCGGCAAGATTTTCGTCGCAGCAGCCAGGACGGGGGGCCCAAGGGATGCCGGGACACCCCGAACAGTTTAGATGGCAGCCCTGCGGTTTTTAGCACATATTCTGCCCTAGGCCAAGGGCGGGAGGCGCGCGTTGCTGCGGGACTGTTGCATGACGATTTTCAAGCAGGCCGGCCCCACCCTGAGCTTGGCAGGCGCATTCCAGAGGAGCGGCCCCAGCACGTCGGCAATATCATCGATCTCGGGCTTGCAGCCGAGCACAGCGAGGATGGAAAGGAATGGAGGGAATGGTTTCAGTCATCTACGAGAGGGGGAGTGGGATGGGCTCACAAGTGGACAAGCAGCTAGAAGCTTGGCAGCCTGTCGCAGCTTCTCACCGGCAACGCTTTTCTGGACGCCTCCAGCATATCCTCCAGGTCGAGGCCGATCGTCTCTTTAAGATGTGGGAAGTCCAACCCCAGGCCCCTCCTCAATGGGCCCCTCCTGATGATGATAGAGTTGCCCTCGTTCCCCGGTCAGCCTCTCGGCCTCGGAAGGCATCGCGCATTTTCCAGCGCAGCACGACCTCCATTTGGAATGGAGCTCACCCCCGCTATTTTGCTATGCTCAACGAGGAGCAGGCTGAACTGGTTTGCCGCATGGTTGAGATTAACGAACAAATAGGACATATGCCGTCTTGGGTGCAGGGAGCTATCTCGACCGTCGTGCTGAAGTCGAAACAACAGGATCCCCCCAATCTAAACCAGCTGTCAGGTCCATCGGCACGCTGCCCGCCCTGCATCGCGCCCGGGCCCGACTGCGGCGATCGGCGGCCCGAGAATGGGCGTTTCGCCATCGCCGCCTGCACATTGCTCACCAAGCGGGGCACTCCATTGTCGAGCTCGTGCACAAGCAAGCTCTCGAGTTTGAGTTTTACAGCTGCATGGCAGACAAGCAGCATGCAGCGCAAGTGCTCTGGGACTTGTCGAACTACTACGAGCACGTGGACAGGGAGTGCCTCGCCCAGCGTGCTGCCGCATCTGGTTATCCCTGCTGCCTCCTCCGCATTACCCTCGCTCAGCATGGTATCCCTTGGCTCGTTGCTCTACATGATGTGCGCGTGGGTGTTGGCAAAGCCTGGAGGAGTCGCATTGGTGGGCGTGGGCGGTACACGTAGCCCGCGCAGATGCAAATTCTTGCCCCCCCCCCCCCCAGGTCAGTGGACGAACATTCATGCGGCCATCCGCCTCGCCATGTTTATTGATGGTCTCCCCTCGCAGTGCCATGCCGAGAGCTACGACATGCTCATCAGTCTGTTAGACGTTGCAACCCGCTCGCTTGCCAGTTGCATCGCGCGCGAGTTCAAATGACAGATTGCCACCAGAAAGGGCCAAGTTCTAGCCAGCAAGGACCTCCCAAACAAGCTTCGTAGGACTTTGGGAGAGCTCACGGGGCCCTCCGCCGACAACACCGGAACCAACCTCGGCGTCGAGAGCGGAGCTGGACGGCCCCAGAGAAGGCGGGGGAAAGATAGGCCACTCTCGGAGTGCATCCGAAAGATCAAGAAACGCATGGTCGGCATGAGGGTAATCGAGCGCGCCGGCGACAATGGCAAGAAGCTTTCTAATACAGGCCCCGCTGCAGCCACCACTTCCGGCGACGAAGCCGCAGGCGTCAGCGGCGTTGCAGGGGGGCGGGCTGCGCCTCCGCCTCCTGCAGCTGCCGGGCCGAGGCGCGCCTCGCGCAGCAGAGAGCCCTCGCCCTGCTCGCCCTCCGGGACCCCCAGTGGCAAGCTGGCCCTGGCCATCCCGCTGCTGGCAGCGTCTGTGGCCTGGGAGGCCCGCGCCAACCCCTCCGCGGCCGCGGTCCGTCTCGCGCGGCTGCGCCCCCCTGGGGGCCCGATTCTTCCGACCGCGGCCAAATCGCGGGGCTCTCGCACGAGGCCCCTCAGCGCCGCCATGATGCCCCTCCACGGGGTCGGCCGGGCCATCGAAGGCCCGCTCAGATTTGCGCGCCCTCTCCCGGGAACCTCCCCAGCCCACGCGGCGAAGCTGCTAGGAGTTGCTTGGCCTGGCCAGACGGCAGAACGTGCTGACAGAAATATGGGCATTCTTGATTGTGCGTTTCAGGTAGCAGCTGCGCTAGCAGTGCCAGCGCACCTGACAGTTCAAAGCAGCAGAATTCCCCCCCCCTTTGTTCCGTCACCCAGAGCATCTGGATTACGGAGAAGGCTCGCGCCGCTGGCTATGCCGTTGCTCAAGGCTGCCCATGTGGACTCCACACCGACGAGCTCCGACACCGCCCCCTCGAATGCCCTACGACGGAAGAGGCCAGACCTGTACTCACCAGTGGGGGGTTCGTCGGTTGCGAGAGCCCAGTCCCGATTCCTCCCCCTTTCGCCTAGGGTTTCAGTTTGCGCACAATTTGGTGGGCAACCCTCCTGACGGCACTGGGCTGGAATCGGGGGTCTTCTGGCGCCAGCAACCTGACCCAACGCCTGAGGAAGTTTTCCGGGGTAGATGTGTTCATAGATGGCAGTTGGGCGTGCCACGGTCATTATATATAAACATGTATATAATGCAGCAGGGTACGCAGTTGTCAGCATGCGCAGAGGAGTTGTGTTTGTCACCTTCAGTGGTCGCGTAGGTAAGTTATGCTCCCAAACCTCGGGAGCAGCGGAACATGTCGCCGCTCTCGCGGCTTGCCGCTTGTCCTCGCAGACAGACACCATATATACATATTATGTTGCAGCCATGAAGCTCCATGGCGGCTCCCAGTATCCCAGGAAGAGCAGGTGGATTGGTTTCAAGGTGCTGGCAGGCGGCGGGGTGACCCGCCTTTGCGACAAGCTATCCGAGGTCAAAGCCCATCGTTTGTTTTCGGGGCTGACGGTAGGCAATGAAGAACATCGCATTGCGAGCGGCAGCGATGCCGCAGACAGAATCGCCAAGGCAGCATGGAATCTTGGTGGCCAAACTAGCACTCATGAAGTAGAGCAGTGTGTCAGCGGCACTGCTCTGCTGAGGAAGTACCTCAGGTGCGCAGACAGTGCCCTGGGTGAGTGGCCAGCCATCGCGCCCGCTCGCAGCACGGCTCTGGCCAAACTTGCGAAGAGCCTCCCCCCCCAGGCGCCTCCTCTGCCTTGGCTTCCTGGGGCCCTGCTGGCCCTTCCTCGGCCCCTGGCCCTGTGCCTCCTCCTCCCCTCTCCCCCTGCGGGCCCTCCCGAGCCCCGCAGGCCCTGCGCGTGGTGGACGAAGGTGCGAGGCCAACGCCGATGCGCCAGATGTCGCACCAGAGTTCGGTCGCTCAAACATTGGCGAGAGCGAGCGGATAAGTTGGACCGTCCAGGTCATTGCATGGCCCTCTCGAGTGTAGTTGATGACCCGCGTGGCCAAGACCTGTTCAACCACGAGCGCCCTGATCAGCCAACGAGCTTTCGTGCGCGTCACCAGTGCGGTTCTTTCAAGGAGAGCGCCCGTGGACTGCAAGGACAGTGCAAGACGAAATCGCCTCCTCATGGAGCCAAATGGCAAGTGCAGAGAAAACAGTCGGGCCGTCATCCCCAAGAGTGACGCCAAAGGCCCAGTCTCGCTCAGTCTGCAGCCTGCCCCGTTGGCCCAGCGAGTGAGCGAGGCTCACAGCGGGCAGGGCGGCTTGGGATAGCCGTCGGGTGGTACAAATTCATTAATCCAACCACGTACTGGTCCTCCTCCTCAACCTCTTCCTCCTCGTCTTCCATCTCTTCCATCTCTTCCATATCGTCCATCTCCTCCTCCTCCGCCCCCTCCTCTCCTCCTCCTCCTCCTCCTCCTCCTCCTCCTCCTCCTCCTCCTCCTCCTCCTCCTCCTCCTCCTCTCCTTCCTCCTCCCCCATACCCTCTATCTCAACCTCCTCTTCCTCCTCCTCCTCCATCTCATCCTTCCTCCTCCTCCTCCTCCTCCTCCTTCTCCTCCTCCCCCCTCTCCTCCTCCTCCTCCTCCCTCCTCCTCCCTCCTCCTCCTCCTCCTCCTCCTCCTCCTCCTCCTCCTCCTCCTCCTCCTCCTCCTCCTCCTCCTCCTCCTCCTCCTCCTCCTCCCCCTCCTCTTTTTGCCCCAGGGATGGGAGGCGGGGCTCCAAGGGCCCAGGTCACGAAACTGAGCAGGTCGGAGGTTCTGAGGGGCGGGAGGGGCGCCCTTTTGGGCCGCTGGCCCACTCACGCTCCCTCCGGTCGTTCTGGGACACCTCCTAGCCTCACGCTTGCCTGTTTGCCATTTTGAGCACCGGAGGGGGAGAAGTAGAAAACGAAGGGGGAGGAGGAAGAGGAGGAGGAGGAGGATGATGGAGAAAGAGGAGGAGGAGGAGGAGGAGGAGGAGGAGGAGGAGGAGGGGATGGAGGAACAGGAGGGAGACGAAGAGGAATAAGAGGACAAGGCGAAAAGGGAGGATGAGGAGGAGGAGGAGGAGGAAGAGGATGAGGAGGATGGGTAAGGTTCGACACGGCCACACACAGGTCGTATTGCCAGCCAGGATGTTGCAAACATGGACTCTGGAACGGGCATGGATGCTCTTGTTCGCAGGTGGATTTCAGCGCAGCGAAGCGTTTGGTTTTGAAGTGTTTAAGGCCGCGCGGGCCCCATGCGGAAACATTCGTTCAAGACTTACCCCTGTTCGGGCGGGCCGCTTCCGAGTCCGAACTGTCAGCAGGTCCTCGCACAGCACAACTTCATCATGGTGGCCCCAGAGGTGCTGAAGGACACGTCGCTGCAGGCGAGAGGGAGGAACTCAGCGGGCTGCCCCCTGCGCACAAGCACCCCCCCGAGGTAGTCCCAGACCCCCGACGTCGTGATTTGGTTAGCAAAGTGGACCTCCTGGAGGTCTCGACCCATTCCCGCAGAGTGGTTCTTCATGCTGGGTGGTGCGTTGACTGCCCCGGGAGTCCCGGGCCTCGGCGAAGGCCCCCGAACCGATAATTACCAACAGCCTCCATGATGTTTGTCGCACACGCGAGGGAGTCTGGGGTCGCGGCTGCCGTCAACAGGCCCCCGGGGTAGTTCGGGGCAGCTTGACCTTCATTCCCCCCCGCGGCGGTCTGCGCCCAGCGGGGTCGCTGTCGGAGAGAGCGCTGGATGATACGACGCCGCCTCGGGCGAGCCCCAGGGGGGTCGTTGGGGCCAGCCGCGGCGGCTACTTCCTGGGGGACATCTCTGCGCCGCCGCGTTGGCATCGACATGGCGCCTGCGGGTGCATGGCATGATTGGTCCGATTTCTGAGCGCTGTCAGCGGTCACCTGTCTCACCAGCCGACATGAGGAAGGTGAGGGGAGGGGGAGGCGGGGAGGAGAGGGGAGGGGGGAGGAGGAGAGGTGAGGAGGTGAGGAGGAGCAGCACGAGGAGAATGAGGAGGTAGAGGGAATAAGTTGGAGGAGGAATAGGAGGAGGAGGAGGAGGAGGAGGAGGAGGAGGAGGAGGAGGGCCATTAAGAAAAAGAGAAAGGGGAGGAGGAGGGAGGCGGGGGACCCCCCTCCCCTAGCCCGCGCCTGCAGTCCTCCTCATTAAGAGGGATGAAGAGGATCAGGAGGAGGGGGATGAGAGGGAGCGGGAGGGAGGTGGGGGAGGACGATGGGGTGACAGGAGGAGGAGGAGCAGAAGGAAGGGCAGGAGGAGGAGAGGAGGGAACAAGGACGAGGACGATCACAAGGAGCTCCTGAAAGACGATTGCGTCGTACCTCTGGCTGTTTCGTGCGTACTCTGGCACAGGCGATTCACGAATTTCGAAATACGATTGCGTCGTACATTGATATACGCGCTGGCGTTCAAGTTATTCAGTTGACGTTCGCTCCTGCCCACACAGGCATGTGAACGAACGCACCAATACACAAATGTATGAACATGCGTGTGCCTACACAAGTTGCTCAATCAACCTTGTGCAGCCTCCTGACGCAGCTGTAAGATCTGTTTTTTAGCATACCTCATTCCCCGCCCAGGTGAAGCAGAGCGCGTTCGCCCTGTGCGGTGACTGCGCGAAGAACTGCATTGAGTACATGAAACCGTTCTTGCCACAGGTGCTTCCACTCTGCGCCGCTAGTCTTAGGCAGAACACTTCTGCCACTGTCAGCAATAACGCGGCTTGGGCCATCGGCGAGGTTTGTGTGAGAGTCGGGCCGGAATTCATGGCACCTTTCCTGGATGATCTGATGCCAGCTCTTGCCAGCGTGCTGACACGGCAGGGTATGCAGTATGGTCAGAAGCAGCAGCTGCTCACGCAGAACGTGTGCATCACAATCGGCAGACTCGGAGTGGTTTGCGGCCCCCAGATTGCCAAAGGTTTTGGAAGTTTTGCCCAGCGATGGTGCTTGATCATGAAGCACGCCCGACTAGATCACGAGAAGGTGAACGCCTTTCAGGGCTTGTGCAACATGCTCCGGGCCAACCCAGAGGCCGCGCTCGGATGCGTGCCTGCCCTCGCGGGTGCCATCGCGTCGTTTTATCCGGCCCCAGAGTTCTTGCAGCCCAGTTTCGCGGAGATTCTGAATTCATACAAGCAGCAGCTGGGCGCGAGCTGGCCAGAAGTGTACGCTCAGCTCCCCGATGACACCAAGGTCCGTCTCGGCCACATGTATAACCTGGGACCCTCCTGAAGGCAGTGTTCTGAATCAGCTTGAGTGCGGCATAGGTGTTGCACGGCACTCCCAAGTGTCTTTCCCTCTCTGTGGCGAGCGTTCCTCTCCTCGTGCCCCGTTCGCATGCTCCCAGTGGCCTGCAGCTCTTGCTGGCTGCAGCGGGCACGATCCAGCCTCCTCGGCCCCCGAACGCTTAATACGCTCGAAGACAGCACCTCCTGACCCTGGCCCCGAGCCTCCGCCGAGGCTTGCGAGGCCGTAGGTGGCATGGCACGCTGCTGCGGGGACGAGCTCCGAGGAGGATCGGTTGGCTTGGACAGCGCAGGAAAGGGCGCCCGCCGGCGGCCGGGAGCGGCGGCGGTCCCCCCTCGCAGCCGCGCCCTCCTCCGCCGCCACGTCGTCCTCGCCACGGCCCTCCCCCCCCCCCGGGGCAGACTCCCCACCTCGAGGCGGCACATCCAGGACCCACGAAGGGGGGGGGGGGGGTCGCAGACGTGCCGGCGCGGCAGTCCGAGGAGGCCCGCGGAGGCACCCCGAGGCCCAGCGGGGCCCTCGATCTGTCTCCTCCTCCTGCCCTGCCCCCGGTGGGCACGAACGGGCTCCTTCGGCGGGGCTCGCGCGGCTCTGGCGCTCGTCTCGCCTCGCTTCGCTGTTGTGTGTGTGTGTTCTTCCTCCCTCCTCCTCTTCCTCCTTCTGCCTCTTCCTCCTCCTCCTCCTCCTCCTCCTCCTCCTCCTCCTCCTCCCTCCTTTTCCTCCCTCTATTTCATCCTCCTCCTCGTCCTCTTCCTCCTCCTCCTCCTCCTCCTTCTCCTCCCTCTTCCTCCTCCCTCCTCGTTCTCCCTCTTCTCTCCTCCGCCTCGCTTTCTCGTTCACCCTTTTTTCTCGCATCTGTTTTCCCCCCTGCTTGGATGAAAAAAGGTAGTGGCCCGGGCGGGGGGGAGAGCAGGAGCAACCAGAACGGCCCCTCCGAAGGCTTCAACAATTCAGCCAAAACGGGTTGGTTCTCGACAGCCGTGATTGTTGCTTGCCACATCTTCTTTCTCCTCCTCAACCGTCTTCTCCCGTTCATCTTCCTCCTCCGTGTCTCGTCATCGTCGCCATGTCCTGTTCCTCCTCATCACTGCTCCCACTGTTCCTCCTTCGTCTCCTTTTTGTCTTGATGCTCTTATAGTTGTCACTCGTACACATTATCCTCAACATCCTCTTGACTCTGGCCCCCATGTTCCCTCCTTCCTCCTCCTTTCCCTCATCGTCCGCCTCCCTGCCGAATTCCCCTCACCTCACCCCTCCTCTTCACTATATTACTCGCTGCCTTTCCCTCGTCAGCGTCCTAGTCCTCCTCCTCACCACCAGTTTCATTAGCATCAGAAGTATCACCATTATCCCTACGTCCATCGGTAGCCGTTTTGGCTCAAGCCATTTTGGTTCAAACCATCTTGGCTCAAGCAGTGTTGGTTCAAGCTATGTTGGCTCATGCCAAGGGGGCTGCCCGACACCTGGGCACAGCTGCCCTTGCCTTGCTTGTTGTTATTCCTTCTCTGACCCGTTCGGATCTCGATCTGCTCGGAGGCGCGATGGCTCTCAAAGGCATGGGCGCGTTTATCTTTGAGTTGACGAATGGTTTGTGTTCATCTCGGTCACGCTCAGGTCTCTGCGTCTGTCTCTCACGACAAGGCTTTGCGAGTTGGGCTGGACGAACAGAAGGCGAACACTGCTGAGGTGGTATGCGGCCAGATGCGATGCTGGCGACGGCAGCGACAGTGGTGGTGACGGCAGGCCGGCTGAGAAACCCAGAACCATGCCGCGCCTTCGATTCGGCTAGCTTGGTGCGCTGCCGAAGGGCATCCTCGCTGGTTCCGCTGATGAGTACCTTCGTGACGTTCTGTTCGAAGCAAGTATCGCAGTTCTCTCCTCGTGTGCTGGCGAGCTTGCGAGGCTGGTGGTGAAGTCTACCCTTCGGAGCTTTTCGAAGGACGCGGCTCTAGCGATCCCAGTCACAGAAGCAGTCTCCGACACCACCGATACGTCTATCAGGAGGAACTTGCCTGACGGCGTCGAGTACCACACCCCCCCTGGGCTCCCGCGGGTTGCGTCTGAAACCGCTACGTGATGGTGAGCCAAACAAGCAGTAAGCTGCGACGAGTAGCGTTCGCAAGGAGCGCGATGCTACTGTCAGGGCTAAGCCGCCCCTCGCGAAGTAGCCCATCGACCCGTCAGTCGGCGACGGTTTCATCTTTGCAGCGGGAGCTGAGACAAGTGACGCAGCTCTCCCACGTTGCCAGACCTGGCTCTGTTCAGGAAATGCCAATCGTTTCCTCGTCCGCCTGCCACTTCGAGGATCTCGGGTTAGAAGGCAAACGACAGATTATCGTGACAATAAGCATAGGCCAGTTGTGTCTGCGATGGCGTGGCCAATGCTGGGGCCGGTTGGCGCACGCAGGCCTTCCGTGAAAGGCACTACTCCATCTTGGGGTGCGTGGGGCATCGTTGTTCTCATTCTCGTCCCACTGAAACCGCTATTTGTTGCCAGCTGGAATTCAGGTAGTCTTTTTGGTACTTGGTAGATATGGAAAGTATGCGAAGTCGTGCATATACGCGTTCGGTTTGTTCTGCACTCAAATCGGGTGTTCCCTGTGTGTGTGTGTGTCTGTAGCCTGGTGTGAGGTACGAGTTCATTTTACAGACGATTACGTTGTATCTGATCGATCCTGTCTCACTCACTGACCTCACTATCCATGACCATCTTGGGCGCATACGCGCGATGCTATGTCGAGCGATCGACGTCCAGCTGCCGTGGAAAAGGCCAGCGCGAAGTGTTGCGCAAGCTTGCACATGTACGACGACATTGCGACTGGCTCAGATCCCATGCCACATCGCGCGCTCACGAGCAGCTCCAATGGAATGTCGCGCGAGGGCCACTGGCCCGACCATTGTGAAAAGTTCTGAGCAACCGATGGACGACCGCTCGCGATGCTTTCTGAACGCGGTGGATCTTCGGGCGTCGAGCGGCCGCGCGTTCCTTCAAGTCAGGACGCGGCCGGAGAACACAAGGGTGTTCAGAGGCGAGGTTTCCACCGAATTGATAATTCAGATTCAACGTTAAAGACATGTTGGACAGAGGCAACTGACGGCACCAGGAATGATTATCCATGCGCAGGGCAGATTGACACCGTGGCCGAGCCAATAGATGCACCGCCGACCCCCTGTTGTCTCGGAGTTGTCTCAGCCGAGCTTTTGGCTCATACCTTTCCCGGTTTGCCCCCGCCCCTGCTTCCTGGTTCTCGCCGTCGGGCTCGCCCCCGCCCTGGTTTGCTCTTCCGCTTCTTCCGGCCCCTCGGTTGTCAGGTAAATCGGAATCGGCGACGGCCTATCCGCGCGCCAGTCGCGCGTCGCAGCTTTTTGTTCTTCGCTCCAGGCCCCGTTGCCTTGGGCGCTGCTGGCCCCTCCGCAGGGCGCCGCAGAAGCGCGTTTTTCGTCGCCTGCTCCTGTGCTTCCAACGACGCCGACGTGGACATCCGAAGCCCGCCTCGCTGGGTGCCGCCGCTTCTCTTCGGCCTCTGCGCTGCTCTTGCTCGCTTCATTTTTTGTTGCGCTTCGGGCTTGCTCTCGGCTGCGAGGGCCATTCAGAACTCGGGCGCAGCTGGCCTCGATTTGCTTGCCCTCGCGCGCGCGAGGCCCTGGCAAGTTCGAGCGCCCTGCCCCCTGTCGTTGTCAGGCCTGCGTTGTTGTGCTGGTTCTCTCGCGCCCCCTCTTGCTCGCCACCCTGCTGCTTTTGCCGCCTGTGATGTTGCTGTCGCCGCGCGATCCCTGCGGGTCCGCTGCGATGATAGTGTTCCTGCGGGCGGTGGTTGGGTTGCCCCCCCACGCAGCATCCAGCGCATGCGCCCCGGTCTTCCACGGGGCGGCGCGGCTCGCAGAGGCTCGGACGCGTCGGTGCCCGAGCTGATATCCCAACCTCTCCTGTCCAATCTCTGCTGCGCGAGAGCCCCCCATCTCTCCGCGGCCCGCGCCGCCCTCCTTCCCTTTCGGGGCAGCTCGCGGGCGGGGCGCTGCAGCCGCTGCGCCCTCTCGGGGCCATGGCGGAGCTCCGACCCCGTCGCCTGTCTACGCTCAGCTGTCGTCACCTCCATGGCGCACAACTGATGCGACTAGGTCGCACGTCGGCCCGCCCCCGTTTGTCTGCCCTCGCCCGCGCGCGAGGCCTTGACCCATTCGAGCGAAACTCCGCCCGCGTTTGCCGCCAGAGCCCTCTCAGTGGCCCCCCCTTCTCTTGGGTGGCGAGCTTAGTGCGTAGCCCAATCGCGCATGATCGCCCCTACTCCTTCCCGCTCTGCGTGCGTCTGCCTGATGCAGCCTTGGTACCTGCCCAATGAGACGGTCTGGCACCGATTGCGCCCAATGCCTGCACTGTTCGTCCCAGCCGATTGCCGCCCTCTGTTTGACTCCATCGTCTGCCAGTTCGTTCATCGTTACCGGTCCGCTGGGAAAAAATCCGCCCCCTACCTCCGCCTCCCCGCTCCTCCCCCGTTCCCCCTGGTATCTTATCTTATCTTATCAGGCCTGCGCGCGGCTCTGCTGCAGAAGCTGGCGCCAGGATGGACCTCAAATAGATATCAACCTGGGTATAGAATGTTCTCGGATTATTGACCAGCGTTCAGAATGTCTCGCCCGAAGCATTATGAACCTGGGTTTACATGTTCTGGGGATATTGATTGGGGTTAATCCTGTTCCCCCCGGAACATTATAAACCCTGGTTTATAGCGTTCTGGGGATATCGCCCCCCATACATGTTATTTTGGCGTCATAATGTTCCGGGATCACTGCCTGGGGTTTACAAAGTTCCGGGAATAATGAATTCGGTTATCGTCATTCCGGAATGATGATAATTATTATGATCCCCCCAACCCCCGGGTTCCTCACAAGGTTTTTTTCATGTCGGAATATTGACCCCAGTTCATTATTTCCAGGAGAGAATAAACCCGGATTCATAATGGTCCTGGATTAGTGTCCCCGGGTTCATTATTCTGGAATGAGAATGATTGAGTTACGGGGGCGCCGTTTGGGAGTACGTTCTGGTCTGAAGTGAATTTTGGTTCATAATGTTGGAATAATAAACGTAGGTTGATTATTCTGGAAAAATAATGATTCGGTTGGGGGGGGTGAGCCCGATCCATTCACAGGACAATAATCCACAGTGTATCATCTGCAGATAACGAAGCTAGGTCTTCATTTCTAGATCATAAGCCACGGTCGACGAGGATTTCACGCCTACCCTCGCTGGCGCCCCTCATGACCCCCGTCCAATGTTGTTGTGCGATTTGGTTTCGTCCCCACCCCGCGCTATGCCGCCTGGTCCCAGGAGGGTGATTCGCAACCGCTTCCGTCTGTGAGAAAAACTTTCCCCCCTCGGTGGCGCGACGCAGCGCAGGTGGGTTAGATGGTTGGGCTGGTCTGGATGGCTGGTGGGATTGGGTTGGACCTGGATTCAGCGCTGGGTCGGGTTAGGCCAGACTGGAGAGCGGCAAAGGCTCGTCTGGCACCTCTGCTTCGCCTTTGGCGGGGTCGGGGTGCAACCTTTCGTTTCTTGAAAGCGACGGGCGTCGATCAACCTGTCCCGCGTAGCTTTTCAAAGCAACCAGTCAGCGGCCTCCTCCGGCCGCGCTTCGCTCCAGGGCCACGAGATTTGCACGCACGCGCTGCCCCAGGCCTGACCCGCCCTGGGCCGAAGGCGGTGCTTCCCTGGCCACGCCAGGGGAGCGCAGTCGTGCGCCGCGTCTCGGCCCAGGATGGGCCAGGCCTGGGGCAGTGGGTGCTTGTCGATCTCGTCGCCATACGTTCTGCGGCGAGCTGGCACCCCTCTCTCGCCCGCGGGGGCATGTCCGAGGGCACGCGGCTGCTCTCCCGCCGCGCGGCCCCCGAGGCCCCCGCGGCGGCGGAGGGCCCCGAGGGCCCCGCGGAGGCCCGCGGGTGGCTGCCGCGCCCGGCCGCGGTGGCCCCGCTGCTGGCCGTGCTGTCGTGCGTGCTCTACTGCGGCAACGGCGAGCTGCTGCAGGCCCTGCAGGCGCTCGCGGCGGAGCTCGGAGGCGCAAAAGGGCCCGGAGGCCCCGGCGCTGCACGTTTGTTTCGCGACGGGCGAGTTCGCCGGGGCCCTCGCAGATCGACGCGGCCCGAAACGCACTCGCACGAAGATGGGGTCGGGGACTCCGGCGGCCATCTTTTTTGGTTTGCGGGACTGGACGGCTTGGCAACGTCAGATCTGAGAGGGCGTTGCTGGCCCTGCCTGGCCTGCGGCCTTTTGTTGGGCCTCCTGCGAGGCTAAGTCGGGCATGTCCCTCTACAGGGGGAAGGTTCAAAAATAGTCAAAAAATAGTATGGGGACATGTGTTCGATTATTCTCCGAATATTTTGTGTAGTTTCTATGTTTCTGAGTTTGTCTTCCAAAGTACGCCTGCAGGGGGCTATGCCCGACCTAATGCGAGGCTTCGTCAGCACCGCTGGATGTCCGCCGCGAGATCCTGGGCAGAGCGCGGCCCAGGAGAAGTCGGGCGAGCAGCGGTATCAATTGCTTGTTGTCCCCCCACTTTCAAGTCGGGTACGTCACTCTACAGGAGGAATGCTCCCAAATAGTCAAAAAATAGTATGGGGATGTTTTCTTTCTTGTATGTCTTTGACCATTGTTGAGTATTGCTTGACTATGTTTTGTTTTTCATCCAAAATCCCCCTGTAGGAGGACATGCCCGACCTAACCCCGCTTCCCAGGAGGAGGGCGGCGCGTCTGGCGCCTCCGCGCTGCTGAACCTGACCCTGTGCCACTTGGGCGGCCTGCTCTTTGCGCCCCACTTCCGGAAGCACGAGAAGACGGCATGGAGAGAAATGTTCGGAGTTCCGCGCGGGATTCTCTTGGATCGTGCGCTGGGTCCTCCTCCCTGTCGCGCGGATCGCGCCACGGGCGGCGCCGAAGGTGCGCCAGGGGGGACTTCGTGCAGATCCCAAAGAGATCCGCGAGGAGCTTTTGACAGTTTATGTCTCATGCTGTTTTCTCGTCTTCCGACTTCCTGCGGCGCGACGACGTGGCGGGCGGAGGGTCACTTGCCACCGCAGCGGGGGGCGCGCTCGCGAACACGCCGCGCACGACGGCACTCCTCTTCGCCTTCGTCATCATGGGCTACAATTGGGCGTGGCTGTCCAGCGCGAGGCTGGTCCCCGCAGGCCTTACCAACGCCGTGTTCCAGACTTCGATCGCGTTCGTCTATTTGGCCAGCACACACCTCTTCGCAGAGCCGCTCACCCTTCCCAGGATGGTGGGGGTCGGGCTGTCCATCGCGGGCTCTGGGCTCGCGAGCGGCTTGGTGCATTTAGGGGCCAGCCCATCGAACACGCTTCAGGCAGCGAGCGGGACAATGATGGGAGTCATGCTTGCGCTGGTGGCCGCATTGGGCGTGACTGTCTACCAGGTGCTCTTCAGGCAGCTCTTCGGCCACCTCAAGAGTGATTGGCGTTTCCTCGCGTATTTCGGGGCCTGGGTCAGCGTCTGGCATGTGCTGGCGATCTTGCCGCTAGTCATGCTTGCAAGCCCCCTCGGCATCGAGAAGCTAGCGCTACCCAGCAGCAGCGAAGCGTGGGCTGGCACGATGGTGTCGGCTGCGCTCGCGTCCGCGGTGAACGCGCTCTATCTGTGCATAGTCATGTGGGGGTCGCCGATGCTCCTCCCGTGCGCCTCCGCGCTGTCCGTGCCGCTGACCGTTGTGCTGGACGCGGCCCTCCACGGCGCCAGGCCGACGGCCGTCGAGTGCCTGGGCCACCTGATGGTGGTGGTCTCCGTGGTGCTCATCATGGAGTTGTACGGCACGGCGCTGGTGTCGATGGGCAAGCAGTGGCTGGGCGCCGCCCGGGCGGACGACGATCGCAGCCTCGCCGTGCCGACGAAGCTCGGCGCGGTGCGCGCCGGCGGCAGCACGCCGCCGACCGCGGTGTAGTGTCAGCACTGGCCCTGCGCGCAGGCCCAGGGCACCCACGTCGCTTCACCCCTCCTCCTCCTCCTCCTCCTCCTCCTCCTCCTCCTCCTCCTCCTCCTCCTCCTCCTCCTCCTCCTCCATCTCCCCCCTCCTCCTCCTCCATCTCCTCCATCTCCTCCTCCTCGTCCTCCTCCTCCCTCCTCCTCCTCCTCCATCTCCCCCTCCTCCTCCTCCATCTCCTCCATCTCCTCCTCCTCCTCCTCCTCCTCCTCCTCCCCCCCGGAGGCGCGAAGAGGAGCGCGCTTCGCGCGCCGCGGTCTGCGCGAGGGCACGAGGAGAGGATCGCGCGTCCGAGACCGCGGGAGCGCGGTGCGCGGAGCCGGGAGGCCTTCCTAGGGGAATATAAAGCGGCACAAACATAACAACTCCTCTTCCTCATCCTCCTCCTCCTCCTCCTCGTCGTCTTCCTCCCCCTCCTCCTCCTCCTCCCCGCGGGAGGCGCGGTACCAGCCTCGAACGTATCCCCATCCCAAAGATTGACACGCCAAAAGGCGATGACAATCTTAGGGATTCGCCCTCCAAAAGTAAGCGGATCCCTAAGATTGGCATCGTGATGAGGAGGTGCCCAGCATAGGGGTAGGGATATGTTCCAGGCTGGTAACTTCACAAGGGGAATTAAAAAAGCGGCACAAACATAACAACTCGGAGGTCCGCGCGGCTTTCTCGGATCGGCGTTTGACCCTCCCTCCCCAGCGCGGATCCGAGAAATCCGCGCGGGCCTCCGAGCTTTTATGTTTGTGTCATTGTTCGTTCCCCTGCTACACGCTCCGCCAAAAACAACATGAAACGCCGTTCAAATCCGAAGCACCCGATAGTCTGGGCACTCGTCAGAGAACGCGTTCCTCAACGCTGCGAGGGCGCTGCAGAATGTCGGGCACCGCTGCGCGTGTGCCGAACTCTTCAAGCCAGCAATGAAGTAGCGCCGACCGCGCAGGCGCCAAAAGCAAAAACCGTCAAGTGCATGTTTGACGAGTCTTGTAGGACCACCAAGGCTTGAAAAGGCAAGTCGGAGGTTCCTCGCCGTTTTCGGCGTCTGCGGCTGGGCGTACTCTTTGGTTGGTCGGGCCCCAGGGCCGTCCACGAGAACGACCGAGGACGA